CATCCTTATGAAATTTGACAGGATTCATGCCCTCAGAAAACATGACATGGCCTGCAAATTTCATCCAATTCTACATTAAAATAGTAGAAAAAAGTTGTATATACTTCTTTTAAAAATATAACATTTATGGTGTTGAGCACAAATGCCCCTAAATTAGTTTGCCTGCAAAATCAATATACTTCTGCCAAAAGGGAAAAAAGGTTAGTCATTTTTTAACTTCCAGGGAGTGAACTGGGGGCGGGGAGTAGATTTGGAGGACCCTGAGCTTAATTGGTACCTCAAACTGAGGAGGGCTGTTTTCCAAAGCACTAAACTGAATCCTATAGTCAATAACACCCCTTCTAGAAATTATTAATATTTGGTCCTGATTCATCATTAATGCCACAGACTTTCCCAGACATATCCTTAACCAGCTCAATCATATGCATGATTATTCAGAACTGTCTCGCTGAGCATAATAGGATTCTATTCCACGCAACTTTGATGAGAATCCCAAACTTAATATCCAGAAAAATGGTATCAGATTAACAAGACTGAGGAAGACTTCTCTCTGGAGACCCTAGGAAACTATTGCTGGTCAGAGTGTGACCTCAATGGCATCTTCAAATCCCTTGGCTTTCACTGACGACACTCAGCTCTACTGTTCTATCCCATAACTTCCTGCCTTCCTCCTAGTGACTGCGCATCCCTTGTAAAGTATTGCACGCATTAATGTGCTATATAAAGCAACAACAACAATTCATCTTATTCTTTCAAACACTGCAGCACCTGCCATCTATTATCTTTGGAATGTTGATCTGGCAACGTTCACTGTGTCTTGAGTTCCAATCCTATGCCCGCTTACCAAGGAGTAAATCACCTTGAACTCAGTGTAGCTTAGTTTTGCATAGGCAGTTATAATAGGGCTGCCCTGATCCAGCGTCCCAGAAAGCACACTGATTCTCTAACATGCTTGAAATGTTATGGTGCCTGATTAATTCACAATCCGAAAGAATATAATTTGCCTCGCCAGCTGGTTGCACATTTCAAAGAGAATGTCTCAGAACTGGAAACTTTCTGTTTATCCTTGATCGAGCAATAGCAGAGCTGTAGAAACATTATTCTGGTAAAAGCAGAAATAATTTAGACAGCAGTCAGTTCTCGCTTCCTCTTCGCTAGTGTCATGAGAGTTTATATGTTCACTGCTTTGGGGATGTCTAGCTAAGATATGCCTAGCAATGAAAGGAATACCAGTAGCCCAGTATTTCCTAAGGAGAAGCAGCAGCTTCCCTTTCAGTCCTGAAAGTCTTCTGTGAAATTACCAAATTACAATGTTTTAGATAGTTGCCTAATAGGAAAATTGCTACTCACTCAGCATCAGGAAGGCTGACAGAAAATCAATATTCTTCTTATTCTTTTTTCCCTTCATTTATTTATTTATTTCATAAAATGTATGCGCTACAGTGGTACCTCGGGTTACATATGCTTCAGGTTACATACGCTTCAGGTTACAGACTCTTCTAACCCAGAAATAGTGCTTCAGGTTAAGAACAGAAATCGTGCTCCGGCGGCACGGCAGCAGCAGGAGGCCCCATTAGCTAAAGTGGTGTTTTAGGTTAAGAACAGTTTCAGGTTAAGAATGGTCCTCCGGAATGAATTAAGTACTTAACCCGAGGTACCACTGTACTTGGTTGAAGAAAAAATAAACCCTTAAAGCAGTCTACTAAAGGATAAAAAAAAAAGATCAAGAAAAATCCACAACCCCAAAAGTTAAAATACTAAAACAGATTTAAATTACCTCCTACTTTCTAAGCTGCTAGGTAGACTTGCCTAAACAAGAATTTGTTTAGCAGGAACAGAAAAGAATACAGTGAAGGCGCCCACTTTATCTCAAGAGGCAGGGAGTTCCAAAGGGCAGGCTCTCTCACACTGAACGACCGTCCTCACACCTGCAGAACGAGTATTAGGTGGCACCTGCAGTAGTGCCAATTCTGCCAAGCGGAGCAGTCGAGGGGGCACCTGTGGAGTGCAATCTTGTAGGCAAACCGGCCCCAAGTTGTTAAGGCTTTTATATGCTACTAGAACCACCTTGAACTTGGCAAATGGGCCACCAGGGCAGATCTCTGAGCACAGGAGGTCTATGCTGACAAGGCCTCACTCCTGTCAGCAGTCTTCTGGATCAAGCGGATCATATGAGATCCCTATATCCCTATATCCTTTTATGCAGAAAATTTAAATAGTGTAAACCTTTCGAAGTTAGGATTAATCATTCAACACAGCCTTGTCAAGTACAGACAGCTATAGAGGTTTGGATAATTTTTTCTGATAATGCGATAAAGTAAGTCACTTAGCAATGGTAAAGAAAGTTGGCAATAGCAGTGACCTGCCTAAAATATGCATATTATATCAACGCATATTTAAAATCCAGGGCTTCAGGCAAGAAGGGTGGGTGAGAGATGCTGGCTTTGAGGGATATGCAGAAGTTGTAACTGCTATGTCAGAGAAACTGTTGGAGATGACTTCTGCTAAGTTGGATTCACCATGGGAGCCCAGTCCTGAAGGTCAAGAAACAAACAAAGCACGCCTCTCTGGAATGTGCGGGGAGAAAGCTTTGATTTGTCTTTCATTTAAAAGGCCAACAAAGCTTTCAGCCTCTCACAGAAGGATTTCCTACCAAAACGCTCACCGAGTAAAAAGTGATGAAAATAAAGAAATGGGGTCTGAGGTCCTAAAAGTATTTCATTCGTGCAGGTCTCACTGAATTGTCCCTCTAAAACAAGTGGTTTCAGAACCTCAAGCTTAATGGAAAATGTATTTATTTGTACCTTTTGTTGGAAGTCCTGAAAACTGAACCTACTTCTTGCTATGAGAAAGATCCCTGGGGTCTACCTGGTAGCGTTAAACTTCTCCAGGCACAAAATATGGTGCTATTACCACATTATAAAGCAAAACAACCATGGGAATAGGCTGGTTGTGCTATCTGCACTGCAAGAGATTTTGAATGTAATATGAACACCCAAGAAACTTTTCATATGTGTGTCTTGGCGAGAGCTTCAGACACATACCCTCTCCAAAATTAGAATTGCGATGGCCCTGGATACTTGTAAAGCCCCTATTCTTTGAGGGAAGGCTTATTGCCTGAGTGGTTTTCCCAGGTTACATGGGAATCATTTACTCGCATCCTGTCAAGCAGGGAAGCAAGGGTGTGTTGCAAAACAGGGACAGGAATTCATCAGGATCGGGGCCAGAGAACAGAGGTAAACAGAAATAATTTGAATATAAAGGGGATGGCTCACCACAGAATTAAACCTTCTGTAGAACTTGATTGAAAACCGAAACTTGCACATTTCCCATGTACCCTGATTTTTGGACATATTTCAAGCAGAAAGTTTGAAAAAGAAACTCATTTAATGATTTCATTTTATACTTGATCTTATCCCAAGCAACCAGGAAGAGCTACAGGATATTCACAGGTTCTTCTCCCACTCCCGCTATTCCTTATTCACTTAAAAACACACCCCAGTGAGATAGGATGATGATGATGATGATGATGATTACAGAGGTAATAGTATACAAAGGGACAAATTTGAAGGGGCATTAATTGAGAATTGCATGTTTCCAATTAATGGGCCTAGGTTTTCCTTTTTAAATAACAGCCGGGGTGGTGGGACAAGGACTGAGACCATGATGCGCAGACAGTGGGCGAGGGGTATTCAACTATGTTTTACGCAGAGTAGACCCACTGAAATTAATGAACATGACTAAGTGAGGTCCATTGTTTTCAACTGGTCTACTTTGAGCAAAAAATAGTTGAATACTACCCAGTAAGCCAATGGGAGTGTCTCTAGAGATTAAGCATTTAATTGCAAGTATGCAACTAATTATGCAATTAATCATACAATTAATGCCACATTTAATCTGGGGAATAGGGATGGGGTATAATTTGCATAAATGTTGCAGTTCATTTTTGGGTATGCTTAAAATCAATTAAATTGAAAAAACAAACAAACAAGCAAACAAACAAACAAACCACAGTTTATTTTATTATGAATATTTGTGGTTACTTTTACTCCCTCATTATAAATAGGATCACATTATCCCATCTCAAGCAGTCACCACTTTTTGAAGCAATGGGATTTGTGCCTTTGCCACCTATACCAACTGCATAGGCCAGGCAGGGGAACCTGTAACCATCTGTGTCTGGTTGGACTACAACTCATGTTGGCTGGGGCTGATGGGAGTTGTAGTCCATCAATACCTAGACGAGCATAGCTTTTTCAACAATGCTATGGGCCCATTTAATTATTTCTAAGAATAGGAACTTTAACTATAGCAAAAGTGTGCTGGCTACATGTGGTCAGAAACTGGAAAGGAGGGTGCACAGTCCCCACATCCTGCATAAATGATGCTCCTGTGGATTTTGCATTCTGGAATTGCAGCTGAATGTGCGAATCATTTGGAAAAAAACCACTGTGATATGAAAATGATTATTTCAAACATGCCGGTCAACAACTGAAGGTTCGGTCATCAAGTGATGAACATGAGTGGATGAAACACCCCTCACTAGAAACGAACTAAAGGCCAATAACACCTTGACCGTAATATGCAAAGTGAAGGTTTGCAGGGTTTGAATAATTATAGCTTCCGATTCTACGCAAACCACCTAATAAATTCCTACAACAGCAACAACAATTTTATTATTTATATCCTGCCCATCTAGCTGGGTTTCCCCAGCCACTCTAGGCGGCTTACAGCACATTAAAAATTGTAAAACATTAGACATAAAAAATTTCCCGATACAGGGCTTCCTTCAGATGTCTTCTAAAAGTCAGACGATTGTTTATTTCCTTGACATCTGAAGGGACATCAACTATTTTTCAATCATGTGTTAAAAGAAAATGATTTGTAACCTCTATCAAATCCATATTGGCTTGCAGAGACTTGAATGCCCAATTGCCTTAATACATGCTGTATACTATAACTGTAATATGAAAACAATCAGACTCCCTAACAAACAGAAATATTTCTAGACTTACGTTTGCATGGCTTTCTCTGGAACATTCTTAGTCTTGATACTAAGGAAAGAAAGAAAAACACATTTTTAGCCTACATTTTAGCTTAAAGAGATAGTTTAAAATGTACTCCCAGGGCTGTCCCATAAATCATGTAATTAATGGAGTGCCAACATTCCAGTCAAATGTTGCCACATACTATTGTAAAGAGATTACCAGTATCTTTTTAAAATGTGCAGTTCTGCCAGACAACTTCAAAGGGATGCTGAGTGGGTAAATATATATTATTTTGGAGTGAGACCCTGCTCTTCTTGATCTAAGCCACATGGCAATATTGTGCTGCCAAATTTCTATAGCTCAGAAATATACCACCCAGAGTTTCAAAAAGGTACATGTCCTCCATCTTAGAAGATTGTTAAAATTATCCTGGACGACTTTTGTATGATAAAAGTATAGATGCTATCAGAAGCCTCTTACCATTATTACTGGCTGTTTCTGTACGATCAGAGCGTAGAAGTTACATTTTCATCAGACCACTAGGCTGGGCTTCTCCGAGTGTCAAAACATAGGGCAGCCCTTACGCATTGCCCCAGAAGAGGAAATAAATCACCCTGAAAAAGGGCACAAATCTGCAAAAAATTGTTATATGCTGATTTATGGGTACAGATTTAGAAACAATTGCTATAATTTAAATAGAAATTAAATAAATAATAAATAAATAATAATAATAATAATAATAATAATTTATTATTTATACCCCGCCCATCTGGCTGGGTTCTCAAGCCACTCTGGGCGGCTTCCAACAAAATATTAAAATACAGTAGTCCATCAAACATTAAAAGCTTCCCTAAACAGGGCTGCCTTCAGATGTCTTCTGAAAGTCAGATAGTTGTTTATTTCCTTCACATCTGACTGGAGGGCGTTCCACAGGGCGGGTGCCACTACCGAGAAGGCCCTCTGCCTGGTTCCCTGTAACTTGGCTTCTCGCAGTGAGGGAACCACCAGAAGGCCCTCAGAGCTGGCCCTCAGTGTCTGGGCTGAACATTGGGGGTGGAGATGCTCCTTCAGGTATACTGGGCTGAAGCCATTTAGGGCTTTACAGCTCAGCATCAGCACTTTGAATTGTGCTCGGAAATGAAATGGATAACATCACACCAAAGTGGGAAATAGTGAGTGACCTAGTTGCTAACTCAGTCTGCTCCACGGTGCTGTTGACAGGCAACTTCAAGGCTCCTGATCTCCCTTCTTACGGCTGCTTACATTTAAAAAGATATTGGGCAGGACATCCCTCCAAAGGGAGGACACCTTGAAATACGGGCCTGTCTTCTGACGGCCCTTCCACACATGCCCAGTCTAGACAGGGCAGTATGGTCACTTGCCTTGATATCAGCTTGGGCAAGGGTGCAAAACAAGCATCACAGACCACCAGAGGCTTTGTGAGGTCAGCATAAGAGTGGCACTACTGGTATGCCGACACCTTAACACACTCACTGAATAGTGCTGATGAGGGAGGGGGAAATCGCAACACTGGACAGCAACAGCTAGGAGGGATACCTTTTTGGCAAGAGCTTTTGATCAGCAGTAGCCTACTGGAGCAACGAAGCCCTGGAATTTTAGCACCAGTGACCATAAAAGTTCATAGTAATTCTCAGTGCAGTTCCAATGTGGGGAAGGTGGGTAGATATAAAATTGGGAGCCTACTCTCAGGGCAGAAAGGAGTGTGATTAGTTAGGGAGCCATTTTGTATCTCTACCTTGCTGTGATCAACGGGTAACTTCAAATAGGTAAGGGTGAATTTTGCATGTAAGTACACGTGCCTGTCAAACTCTGCACAGTGTGTGTCCATTGGACACCCGGAGACTGGAGAAATCCACAGACTTATGTGCAGCCTTTTCCTCTAACAGCAAATATATGCATATGAAGAGGAGCAGAAGCAGAGCTGAAGGCATACAAAAACAGCAAAAAGAAGACTGTGGGTGTGTTGGTGTGTTGCTTTGTTTTTTAAGAGAGATCCTGGGGCTCAAATGTGCCAGGAATACCTGATTCCTAATTTCAGTTGTGCAAGCAGGGACATTGCTAGTGTGATGGCCTGGGACTCAGGCTTGGACTCAGAACCAGAGGAGTCTCAGTCCGCACCGGATCCTTTGCCTCAGGCGGCATCTGAACCTAGTCTGAGGCCTGATTCTGAAGAGCCCCAGTCTGCACAGGTTCCCCTGCAACAAGCACCAGCTGGGCCGAGTCAGGGGCCTGAGCCTGCCCTGGCTCCAGATTACCTTGTTGCCTTTAGCCGGGCAATCACTTACAGCTGCTCCACTACTGGTTGGGTCAGGGGAGGATGAGGTGGCCTCTGGGTCTACTAACTAACCAACGTCTCCCGAGCTGCAGAGACTAAGGTCTGAGAGAAGGAGAGACCTGAGTACTCGCAGGAGGAATGCTTGCCTTCGGGCGAGACAGGGAGGTGAGTCACCGGGGGATCAAGACCGGCCGCTACCCCGACAGAGATAAAAGCCTGTTGGACCCCGCCCCAGGTTGCGGGAGCAACATTCCTGTTTGCTAGAACCTGCCTGAGATCCTGTGTCTGACCTTGCCTGGTATCCTACCTTGGCCCTGTTGGACTGACTCCTCACGGAACCCTTGGATTCAGGACCAGACCTGGACCGCGTTGCTCGGGTTAACCCCCGGGCCCAGCACAGCTAGGCACTTAGAAGACTCAGGGGACAGATTCATGACACAAAAGTTGTTGGCATCCATCTGTCTCAAGAGAGGTGGCATTAGCAGCACTGAAGTGACTTCCCCAGGGTACAAGCCTGGGCAATGTGTATGGAGATCCTGGGCTGCCCAGACAAAACCCTCTCTTGGCCTCACCAGTGTGGTCCAAAGGAAAGCAGATCAAGGCGTTTGCCACCAGCTTGGCTGCAGGAGTTGCCAGAAGGGGCGTACAAGGCGCCATCCAGTCATCTTAGGGAATCCACTCTGAACTTGTGTAGGGTTTACTCCTTAGCCTTTTCTCCCCATGAATATATTCCGTAAGGCAGCAGAGGGCAAGGGTCAGATTTTTCCATCTCCTAGATGACTATTTTCCCACCTGCCCCTCACTTCCCTCTACAGCATGTGCAGAAACCACCCTCTTGATTTTTGGATCCACTATTAGTCTCATCTGCTCAATCCACTGGAACCTCTCTTCACATGCAGAGGAAATCTCTAACCCACTGAGTGTTTGAGACCCATTGACTACCCTCACCTGGTTTAGCCAGCCAGTTGAAGCTGTTTTCCCAGGAGTGGTTGCTGTTGCATGCGGACAGCTTCTAGGAGCCACAGGAGAGCGCTGAGTGGACAAACTACCCCAGAAGGGGCATGACATGTTCCCCCACCAGAGGTACTACCCCTCCCCTAACACCCCATACACATGCTAATTTATAGATGTCTCTGGGAAAATTAAGATAGTTAGTGGCTGGGTTTAACCATCCATAGTTTTGACCTATAAAGCCTCATTTGGCTCAGGACCCCAGTCCTCAAGGACTGCCTGTCTCCACATGAATGGGCTTTTCAGGGGTGGTTTTGCATCTGTGGAATGCTCTCCCCAGGGAAACACACAGCCATCACCAGCTTCTAAGTGGCAAGTTAAGACCACATTCTCTCAATTCCAATTGTCACCAACCAAAACAGCTCTGAAAAATATGTTATAAATACCATCAAAAATTGGTCCTAAACATGTCTCCCTTTATCTCTCTGTTGGCAAATGCATCCACAGGAAGATTGGTACACAACACCATAAATTTCCTAACTTGGCCTCAGAAAAAGAAACCACAAAGGAAAAAATGGTTTAGTAATGGTCAGCTAATATCTTATGAACAACTAGTGTCAAAACTAGACTCAATGCGGTCTCTGCTTTTCTGGTACTTCCAATTAAGACATATTGTTGAGCAATTAAGAATGAAATATGGACTTCCACATGCATATATTCCTTTTGGGAATATTTTGATTAACACAAACTTAAAAAAGGATTATCAGCAAAATCTACTTAACACTATCAGATATTAAAATAAGCCAATTATATCCAACTTTCAAAAGAAAATGGGGGAAAAGACTTGGCAAGCTGCAGTCTTTAGCCCTGCATGGGACAGGATGAATGGCCCTGGCTGTTTAAAACAATACTAACTGCTGATAAGTGTTAATCTTAAAGAAAAGAAAAAGTCAAATATGCATACCAAAAGTATCTTACTCCTTATAAAGTAAGCAAAATTTATAAACTCAGTTTGAACTGTTGGAAATGCAGGAAAATGAAAGCAGATTTTGTACATATATTCAGATCATGTGCTAAAGTAAAACTTTTTGGGAATACTGTGCCGGGCACTGACCAGGAATTTCCAGAATATGGTGTAACAAGAAATCCCACGAGTTCTTTCATTTGCATAGCATGAATGGAAGTAAGAAAAGTAGACACTCAGCTGGGTGCAAAGCTTATGACTGGCACACGACTGTGCATTGGCCAATGTTGGAAAAATAATAAACCTCTTCCTATAACTGAGCAGCTGATTTTTGGGGGGGAATTGCACTGTTGACCGAACTGACCTATCTAAAAAAAAAGAAAGGAAAAAAAAGAGGTATATGTAATCCTTTGTAGAGAGATGGGCCTTGTTCATAAATTTGGAAAAGGAAAATGGATGACAACATTCCTCCTTGAAACTAAGGGTTTCAGGGAGAAATGTTGCCATACATTTCCCTTTCTATACTATACAAGTTCAGTTGCATTTCTTTTTATTTGTAATAGAAAGAAAGAAAGAAAGAAAGAAAGAAAGAAAGAAAGAAAGAAAGAAAGAAATGTTGAGTTTGGACCATACCTTGGTATGATTTTGGCCATTACTGTGGTGCTCTTCTTTCTGCTTGGAAGAGTGGGGTAAAAGTTCTCCTTTTTAACAATGCCCCTGCATGCAAGGATGGGCTGTGGCAGAAGAAGCATCAACCTCAAAGCCACCCTCTTCACTTATTTATTTCTTGCATTTCTAGCCCACCTTTCCTCCAAAGAGTTCAAGGCAGCATCCATAGTTCTCCTTCTCCTCTCCTCTCATCCTCACAACAAGCCTGTGAGGTCGGTTAGGTTGAGAATGAATAGTTGGCCGAGGGTCACCTAGAGAGCTTTGGGGCTGAGTGAGGATTTGTACCCTGCTCTCCCAGGTACAGAACTGTGACAGCTACGCCACCCACACTTCTTCCCCTTCTCTAATACACCATATATTGCTGTGAGGAATGTCTGAACTGATCTTCCAGGATGAAGAAGGAAGGAATTGGGCCCAACACATTCCTTCCCTCTCTCTGTCTCTGTCTCGGTCTCTGTCTCTCCTGAACAAATCCACAATGCAACCAATTAGAGAAAGTAAATAAGTGCAACTCCTGTTGTGCTTCTCTCATTGCACAAGCCTGAAATAAGTCCTCAGAAGAAAACCTGCCCATTTGCCTGTTCTCCATTGGTTCTGCTTGGACCTTGCTACTCTCAACTATTTATTTATTTGTTGAATTTATACACCGCCCTTCCACCCAAAGAAGCCCAGGACTGCAAACACATCCCAGTTTTTTAAAAGCATTCCAAAACAGTTAAAACATTTTAAAAACAGCAACACTTAAAGATGTCAAAAACCATTTCAGTTAAAAATATTCTAAAAGCAGTTGCAATTAAAAACATTTTATGCAGTATTGTTCGGCCATCAAGTACTTGAGGTAAGAGGAATGTTTTCAAATTCCCTCTGAAAGTAAATGATAATGGAATCATATGCACTTCACCACAAAGGGCATTCCACAAATGGGCAGCCACCACTGAAAATACGCTGTCATGGGTCAAAGAAGCAGCCTTTGGTGGTGGAATGAACAACTGGGCCTAAGATCATAGATATTGCAGAAGGTGCTCTTTTAGGTACTTGGGTCCAAGCCATTTAGGGTTTTATATGACAGCACTAACACACTGAATTGGGCCCAGTAGCTCACTGGCAGCCCATGGTCCCATTGCACTGCCCCACTTACCAACCATGTTTTGAACTGGCTGCAAACTCTGGACTGTCTTCAAGGGCAGCCCCACATAGGGCATATTGCAGTAGAGCATAGACAACTGAGACCAGGTGATCCTGATCAGGAACAGCTGTAGCTGGCAAACCAGCATCAGGTGAGCATAAGCACTATTAGCCACAGAAGTTGCTGGAGAAACCAGTGATTACTTGCCTATAAAATACAGGAAGAGTATTTTATACAGATGCATCCTTGTGAAAGGAAACACATACATCTCCAACCTTGCATTCTTTGAAATTCACAAAGAATTCTGAATGTGGAGTGAGTTCACCAGAAGCGGGAATGATCTCTTTCTTGCTCACAGTAACTGACTAACCTTAGCTGCTCAGAGTTACCTTAGCTGTGTGTCTGGAGGGGTTCACTGAAGAAGCATGAAGCTCAATGGTCTCCTATGATCTCCGCCTCCTCTGAAGGGTCCTTTAAATGTCAACTAGGCCTGATACCGCCCTTAAGATTACAATTCACCTCTGGCTCAGGGAGAGGGGGAGGAGTTGTGCCTTCTTTCTCCTGGTGCTGACCCGATCCTTTCCCATTCTGGCTGGCTTTTGTGCTTTCCCTTCCAGTTTCCCAGTGGAGCAGGTAAGAGCAAGGTTCTCAACCAGCAAAACTCAGATTTTTCTCCCTTGCTATCACCCCCACACCCTACCAGGGTGTATAGTCATAAAAGCATCTGTTTGGGCCCTTATCTGCTCCTGCATCCTGAGCTGTGCTTTAGGATACCCACTCTTTAAATATTACTAATGAATCCCAGGCAGAGTTTGGCGGTAGAGTTCTCTGGAGTGGGAGTCAGGTCTGGGATGGAGCCCAGCAGTTGCGGATGGGTCCAGGGGTGCAGAATTTAACTAAATAAGCAAAAAGCCTAAGTAGCCCATTTTTTACTTAATTGCTTGGGAATTCTAAACGTGCCAGGGGGCTTTGCAGCTGAGCAGAGGGAGTCTGGAAGGAATGGCTCATTTATCTCCATTTAGTTTTACTTTGCTACAGTCCCCTTCCTTTTTCTCTTTAGGAATGACTGAGCATTACTTACTCGCAGAGAAGTCAAAAGTACACAAATTAGCTCTTTCCTGCATATCTCCCCTCTGTCCTCGTGACTCCCACAACCAAACACATACTTATTTTCTGTGTTACACACATGCTGCTCTCTTCACGGCCATCCCAGATATTTTCTCCTGTTCTTTCGGGAGACATCACTTCAGATTTCAGTGGATGGAAGGAAGATTCATAGTAAGGTTGAATATCTTTAAGAATAATTTGCAGAAGCAAATTACTTTCCCCTGTGGTGTAAAAGCAAATATAATTAAAATGAACATCCTTCCTAGGTTGATATATGTTCCTTGGGGCCTTTCCCCCAACACAAATAGACCATCTATTCGGGAAATTCATATGAGAATTCATCAGCAGACCCTGCATGGCGCAGACCTGGCTGCAACTCCAAAGGTCCCAAGGGAGCTTCAGTCTCCCTAGACTACAAATGTTTGCCTGATTCCACCAGTTAGATACTGGCAAAAAGAGGCAGAATATGGTTGTGGTCAGTTTGTTTATATGTAATATGTTTATTTTGCATATGTAAGCATATGTGTTGGGGGTTTTTTAGAAGGAGAACCTGCCTGAAAAGAGTTGCAAAAAGAAAATACCCCCTTTAAAAACAGTTGCAAATCTCATAACAAGTCAAGTCATTTTCTGAAAAATAAGACTAGCTTTCTCCAGTACTTTTTGGATATTGTTCTCATGGATTGGTGCAGCTTTCTTTTTGTTTCTAAGTAAAATGGTCACCATTGTCAAAAAAATAAGATTTGCATTGCTAAAGAAAGAAAGGGAAAACAAAAAGAGAAAACCGATTTACTAAATGGATACACATGGGTACACATGATATTGGGGAAGATACCACATGACTGCTAACTGTTGAGTCTAATGTGGCAAGCAGGACGTGGGGATGTTGGAGCTGCTTCCTTGATGGAAGAACTAGGCCTCCTCTCAGAGGTTTGCAGACTAGCTTGGAAGAGCTGGGAAGGCACTTGCTAACATGCTACTGAAAATCATAAGGTGGACACGACTTCAATAGTCCACTGAGCTTGTTGTGATGTGCAATTAACATGAAAACCAAACCAGACTCCAGTGGTTTGGGACTTCACTGAAAATATTTCACACAACACTTAGGAAGGAGTCTTGAAATTGTTAATTTCAAAGCTGCAACTATAAGAGAATGAATGAAACCACTGACAAGTTGGAGTAGAGGAACACCCTTAAGTCCCCGTCTTCAGACCACACTGAATCCATAATAGCTTAAATGTGAAAGATGTTTTTTATAAACTGTTCACGCCTGTCATTACATTGGATGGTGTGCATGTGTGGAATGAGGGCTTGTATAAGGCAAGGGCGCCTGAAACGTGTCTCTCGCCATTCTGTGCACAGGGACAAATTGCACCCCACTTCTTGTGGAATCCTTCCTAATGAGGACCAGTGTGGAGGAGAGGCTTTGTTTTCTTTGAATTTACACCCTCCTTTTAAAAATTAAAAAATGCCGAAGTTTTGCTCTCATCTCAGGGAAGTGCTGTGCTTCATTTTCCCACTGGAGTGAAGGGCAGGCCCTGAGGGGTGTTCTCACTTGAGACCACATTGTGTCACCATGAAGTGAGGTTTGTCGTGTGGGCAGCCCAAGACCTCCAGACACACTGCCCAGCCTTGTGCCCCAGGGAGGTCACTTCAGTGCTGCTGATGCAGCAGTTTCACTTCATCTCCAGAGGCACACTCTTCTGTCTCTTGAGACAAATGGATGCCAGCAATGTTTCCCTGTCCTCCAGGAGTCTGCTTATCTGTTTCCCAACTTGGGAGGCTTTTTGGCCTCCTGGTGCCATGTCAATTTCACTCTCCTGATCTCTTGATCTGAGAACACTTAGGAGGAACTAGGGCTGATTGTGCTGCAAGTGCATTTTTTGGGGGGGGATTACTGGCAGTTTTCTGTTTGCTCGCTGCACCTCTTCCTGCATATATCACTAGTGGATCAGTAGTTCAAAAGCAAAATGATAGCCCAGTTGTATTAAGTGACTTGGCACTGGGTCCCTGGCAAACCAGCTCAACACTAATACCTGACATTACTCTGTACTGTCTGTGACAGAAGCTAATAAAACACCTCGAGAGCTATGCAAAACAGGCCTGTCCGGCTGCTGACAACCAAAATGAATGCATTCTGCTAGCCATGAATGGTAACAAAGGCTCAATAAACCCCTGTAACAGCCACCAACCTGGGAACTGAAAAAACAGAAAATGGCTTCTAAAGCAACTTCCGAGTTACAAGACATGGCTGTTTGCATGTATTCAGCATGGTGGCTCTCATGTTGTGCAAAGCACTCATTAATTGGACATCACAGCAAAGTTCATAGGGGAGACAGTAATTTAAAAGCAAAATATCCCTTCCTTCGAGACAATAAGTTTAATATGAACCTACTGTTACATGCATATTGCCGTATTTCACCGCATAATGGTTGCATTTCTTGTGTCGATTTTTCCTTTCCAAACAGGGGGGTGCAACCATTATGCGGTGAATTACAGGCTGGAGGCAGAGGATGGGGTCACAGACAGGTGATGGAGGTGGTCTCTCGCCCACTGCTTCCCCTTCTTGGCTGGAGTGTCCCTAAGGGAGCCTGAGGTGAGTGGCAGCGTTGGCAACGGCAGCAGCACCAGCAGAAGCCTGGGTCTGGCTTTGCCTTGCCTTGAGTGTGTGGCAAGAGCCAACGGTGCCACGGCCAGGCTGCCTCCTTGCCTCTTGACTCCTCACAACTGCAACTGCAACAGCAGTGGCAGACCAGGCCTGGTTTCACCTCACCTCTCCAGCTACCTCTGCTTGGGCCTAAGCCAACAAGGGCCCAGACTCGGCTGCCTCAGGAGCCCCCCGTGCCAATTCACAGCTCATCTCAGAATTACCCCTGCAACTATTATTCAGGGAATGCTCTGGGACCAATTTCAGGGTCCATAAAGGGGGGTTCAACTACTATACGGTGGCAACCAGTATGCGGTGAAATATACTACTTACATTCTTTGCAGATTGGTTGTACCTAAGAAGACAGGCAGGATGGGAGTTGGCCGATGGCCAACTGAAGTGGGTGGACCAGCCTCCACTGCACGGGGGCCACTGCTGACAGGAATAATTCCATTGTTGTATTTTGTTACTCAATGTCATATCACTTGAGTTTGAGGGACAGTAACTATTACCAGCTGATTGTCTATAATCCTATCTTGCTGTTTGTAGGCAGACTTAGACATTTAACACTCCCAGGCATTCATGAGAGTTGCGAGCATAAATCTTCATGTCCTGCAATGAAATATACGCCTCGAAAAATGTAACTTCTATTTTTATGCATGTGTGTCATAAAACATGAAAGAAGTGCAAATTTTAGCCAGGAGGGAACTTTTATGGCCAAGTTATAAATCTCTGCAAAAAGCAGTTTGCACTTGAAACTGTGACAGCCCTTAAAGTAGAAGTGAGTGGGCAGGCCAGGAGCAAATCCACCCCCACCAGGCTGGCCAAAGGCAATGCCAGTATACTCAGGATCCCAATGGAACTACCGCTGGGAATGGAGAGTGGTCATTTTGGAGTCACTGTCCCCTTCAGAAGCCTGAGCCACAACCAGTGGCGTAGCGTGGGTTGTCAGCACCCGGGGCAAGGCAAGTAATTTGCGCCCCCTAACCTAAGGGGGCAGAGAGCTGCGAGTGCGAGCGCGCCCCCTCCAGATGTTGCACCCGGTGCGGCTGGCCCCCCTGCACCCCCACGCTACGCCACTGGCCACAACACAGGTTTTGCTGCTAGAACATGGTAGTTCGCGTGTGTCCGTGAAGATACTGCCAAAGAGAAAACAGCATGTTTAGTTTGATCCTCAGCACACAGTGTCCTGGCATGAGTACCACTGAAAAACAAAGGTTGTGGAGTGGTTTGAGGATTTTAGTTGCTCTCACATGTGCAAGCCAGAGTTCCCACCTCCTTCCACAGGGATGAAATCTCTCCAAAACCAAGCTACTACTCCGTTGCCTGCTCTGAGTCTTTTCAATTGTGAAATTTCCCATTTCTTACCATTTAAGCTGTGTGGCAAAATCCCACAGTCTGTCTGGTTTAATAGTTTTCAGATGGAAGCCCTGAATGCCAAATGGATTAGGTACATGGACAGCTGGATGTTGTCATAGTAATCAGAATATGGAAAACCATAGATGCTTGGTGTTGGGAAGAAATTGGGTAAAATGGCTGGAATAATTTCTATATGCAGCTATGGCTCATCAGACATATTTATCACATTTATCTCACCCTCAAATCCCAAAACTGCATGTTATCCTTTCTAAATGTTGCTCAGATTGGATTGGTTTACTCTTTCCATAGTAGCTGCAAAGTGAACTGATATGTTATCACACCAGGTTGTTCTGTTTAATCAACAGCTACTCCTATTTTAATAACTCTTCCTCTCCTTATTCTCTACCCCTCTGGTGTTAATCTACTTAGAAGACAGAACAGTGTTCCTTTGCCTTCAGTTTTCCTGGTGGAATTAATGTTGGTACTTAGCAATTATTGCCGTTAACCCGTATATGAATTTTTCTTCTTTAGATTGAATAGTAGCACTTTGGCTCATCTGCTTGCCAATCATAATTACAACTACTGACTGTATCACATTTTGCTTTTTTAAAGTGAAA